CGTTTGTCCTGGACGAGTTCAAGCGCAAATACTCCAACGAGGACACGCTGGGGGTGGCGCTGCCGCATTTCTGGGAGCACTTTGACCGCGAGGGTTGGTCCCTGTGGTACTGCCAGTACCGCTACCCCGAGGAGCTCAGCCAGACCTTCATGAGCTGCAACCTCATCACAGGTACCAGCCTTCGGCCTCAGCGTCATCATCCTCATCCTCATTGTCCTCACTGTCACCGTCCTCATCCTCATTGTCCTCATCATCCTCATCCTCATTGTCCTCAGTGTCACCATCCTCACTGTCCTCATCATCTTCATTGTCCTCATCATCCTCATCCTCATTGTCCTCAGTGTCTTCATCCTCATCCTCATTGTCCTCAGTGTCTTCATCCTCATCCTCATTGTCCTCAGTGTCTTCATCCTCATCCTCATTGTCCTCAGTGTCTTCATCCTCATCCTCATTGTCCTCAGTGTCTTCATCCTCATCCTCATTGTCCTCAGTGTCTTCATCCTCATCCTCATTGTCCTCAGTGTCTTCATCCTCATCCTCATTGTCCTCAGTGTCTTCATCCTCATCCTCATTGTCCTCAGTGTCTTCATCCTCATCCTCATTGTCCTCAGTGTCTTCATCCTCATCCTCATTGTCCTCAGTGTCTTCATCCTCATCCTCATTGTCCTCAGTGTCTTCATCCTCATCCTCATTGTCCTCAGTGTCTTCATCCTCATCCTCATTGTCCTCAGTGTCTTCATCCTCATCCTCATTGTCCTCAGTGTCTTCATCCTCATCCTCATTGTCCTCAGTGTCTTCATCCTCATCCTCATTGTCCTCAGTGTCTTCATCCTCATCCTCATTGTCCTCAGTGTCTTCATCCTCATCCTCATTGTCCTCAGTGTCTTCATCCTCATCCTCATTGTCCTCAGTGTCTTCATCCTCATCCTCATTGTCCTCAGTGTCTTCATCCTCATCCTCATTGTCCTCAGTGTCTTCATCCTCATCCTCATTGTCCTCAGTGTCTTCATCCTCATCCTCATTGTCCTCAGTGTCTTCATCCTCATCCTCATTGTCCTCAGTGTCTTCATCCTCATCCTCATTGTCCTCAGTGTCTTCATCCTCATCCTCATTGTCCTCAGTGTCTTCATCCTCATCCTCATTGTCCTCAGTGTCTTCATCCTCATCCTCATTGTCCTCAGTGTCTTCATCCTCATCCTCATTGTCCTCAGTGTCTTCATCCTCATCCTCATTGTCCTCAGTGTCTTCATCCTCATCCTCATTGTCCTCAGTGTCTTCATCCTCATCCTCATTGTCCTCAGTGTCTTCATCCTCATCCTCATTGTCCTCAGTGTCTTCATCCTCATCCTCATTGTCCTCAGTGTCACCATCCTCACTGTCCTCATCATCATCCTCATCATCATCTTCACTGTCCTCATTGTCCTCGTCATCATCCTCATCATCATTCTCATTGTCCTCATCATCCTCATCCTCCTCACTGTCCTCATCATCATCCTCATCATCATCTTCACTGTCCTCATTGTCCTCGTCATCATCCTCATCCTCCTCACTGTGCTCATCATCATCCTCACGGTCCTCATCATCATCGTCATCATCATCCTCATCATCCTCACTGTCCTCATTGTCCTCATCATCATCCTCACTGTCCTCATCATCATCCTCATCATCATCTTCACTGTCCTCATCATCATCGTTATCACCATCCTCACTGTCCTCATCCTCTCCATCCTCGCCATCCTCATCCTCCTCATCATCTTCATCACCATCCTCACCGTCCTCATCCTCCTCATCATCTTCATCACCATCCTCATCCTCCTCATCATCTTCATCACCGTCCTCATCCTCCTCATCATCTTCATCACCATCCTCATCATCCTCATCCTCCTCATCATCTTCATCTCCATCCTCATCCTCCTCATCATCTTCATCACCATCCTCCATCCTCATCCTCCTCATCATCTTCATCACCATCCTCCATCCTCATCCTCCTCATCATCTTCATCACCATCCTCCATCCTCATCCTCCTCATCATCTTCATCACCGTCCTCATCCTCCTCATCATCTTCATCACCGTCCTCACCATCCTCATCCTCCTCATCATCTTCATCACCATCCTCATCCTCCTCATCATCTTCATCACCATCCTCATCCTCATCCTCCTCATCATCTTCATCACCATCCTCACCATCCTCATCCTCCTCATCATCACCGTCCTCATCCTCCTCACCATCTTCATCTCCATCCTCATCCTCCTCCTCATCTTCATCACCATCCTCACCATCCTCATCCTCCTCATTGTCCCGATGTTCCTCATCCCCGTGGCTTTTTCCCGTGGTTTTTTCCCCATTCCCAGGATTTCCCTGGGGGTTTTCCCGTGGCTTTTTCCCTTTCCCAGCGTTTCCCGTGCGTTATTCCCACTTTCCGTTCCCACCTTCCGTTCCCACGTTCCGTTCCCATTTTCCCGTGCGTTATTCCCGTGTTTTATTCCCATGTTTTATTCCCAGTGTTTCCCAGTGTTTCCCGTGTTTTATTCCCATGTTTTATTCCCATTTTTCCCAGTGTTTCCCGTGTTTTATTCCCACGTTTCATTCCCATTTTTCCCAGTGTTTCCCATGTTTTATTCCCATGTTTTTTCCCATTTTTCCCAGTGTTTCCCGTGTTTTATTCCCATGTTTTTTCCCATTTTTCCCAGTGTTTCCCCTGCATTATTCCCATGTTTTATTCCC